AGATGAAATTATTAAAAGACAAATCAATTATTTCCAACCTCTTTAATTTACGAAAAATTGATTGCGGTAACGTTTTTAACATATTTACTCCTAGGTTCAAATTTTTTAATGATATTAGATCGTTAAATACTTCGGCATCAAGTTCTACTAATGAATTTCCCATAAGATTTAGATACTCTAGATACAGTAAATCAGAAAATAATCCAGGGACRAATTCTTTTATGTTATTTCCATATAATTCCAGTCGCTTAAGATTCGTTGTTTTTACGAAAATATCTTTTGGTAGAATAATATTATTTACAGATATATCAAGGTACTCCAATTTGAATAAATCCGAAAACAAATCATATGGAATATTTGTTAAACCGTTTCGGAGTAAAACTAATTTTGTCACATTTGAAAACTCTTGAAGATGCTCTCTTTTTAGTGTATCGCCAAGGTCTTTAAAAGATTGAAAGATCAGTGTATTTGTTTCTTCTACTCCYAATTTTTTGACAATATTTTTTAATGTAGTTGTGTTTGGTAATCCGCAATATTTAAACTCTAGCGAATTGAGTATCTTTTCKGATTGRTTGCTCGTGAAATTAAAGTTATTCCATCCTCCCATATCTTTACAATCGATCTGTTAAAATATCATTTTATTTTTTTTTAGGAAAATAAGAAGTTTTTTTATTAAACAACATATAAAATATTAGATTTAGAATAAAACTTTATAATTTCAGACAAATCTTACGACATAATAATACATATTGCAATTCAAATTATGTTACAATTAAATTGAATTAAACCGAATTGCAATTAATTAAAAAGCTACTGAGTCTATACCTTCAAATCTGACCATGATTTAACTTTTATGGTAAACGTCGTATTTATATTTGATCTGTAAACTACATTTATGTCGTCTAATTCATCTGACCTGCATTGACAAACTGGATTTTTCTGACACAGATTAGTATTAGCGTTGATTGTTGTAAAGAAAAGAAAAAATATTATTAAGATTATGGTAAACATATTGTTTGTTTACCAGTCCACTACAAAAGAAAAGAACAATTAATGTCAGATTATTTTGGGAGGAAAATTACTGTGATAAGTACAAAAAAATTTTCTTTTGCATTTCTTTAAGGTATACATATTAAAAAATATATAGGTAAGATTTTAATTTAAAATTCCGAAAATTTAATCCTTACAATCACTTTGATGAGACCAAATGGCATGACCGATTAAAGAATAAATTAAAAGTTATTACCTAACAGCTAGGTTCAATTCTATTATAAAATATCAATTATCAATGACAAACGATGTAAGATTTCATAAGACACCTGACAGGGGCAAAGCTTTTCAAGTGTATTTCATTTTAAATTAAATTATTAATTATCAATTAAAATAATAAAATATCAAAATACAAAATAACCCAATAGATATTTTCGCACAAATATAAAAATATAATATTTTATTCGATATTACAATAACACAATGTTGTTAACTAAAAACTGAAAACTAAACTGTTGTATAGTAAAACAAAAACTAATCTTTTTACCAACATTGGTTGCAGAAGATATTTTTACACTCATTAAAATTCTACGGTTCGAAAAAGTTTAAAGACTACGACTTTATAAAAAATTTTTCATTTAAATATTGTATATTTAGATTGAATAAAAAGGAAATGTGATGTAATTTTGCCTATACGTCTTATTTACTCGATAATTAATCTAATTTTTTTGTTTCTTTCATTGCCCATTTTTACGTACTTACCTACAATTATAGAAAAAAATGTGTTAGTTGAACGATTTTCTCAAGTTGTCGTTATTATGATGTAGCTTCTATTTCTTGCCTTAATGATACTATTCCTTATTAGATGATTTCATATCATCGGTATATAAAATTAATAAACAGAAATTATAATTCCAGTTTTATGAGCTTTTGATTAAAAAAACAAAAAGACAGAATATCCATTTTAAAATGGAAAAAAATTTAAGACTTAAATAGAAAGAGATAAAAAGATAAACAGTGTCATTAAAATTTGAAGCCAATATAAAAGTTGGTAATAATTTATATATTTATCAATTTAATACTAATTTTTATAACATCAAATAAAAGTATTTTACTCTTAGATATATAAGAAACATATAAAGTTAAACCAAATAGGTTTTATAGTAATTAAATTAAAAGAAAAATAACGTATTTTTGTTCTTTTCAATTCAAAATGTTAGTTTAAAGTAACGATTTCACAACATGTACTTACTTCTCTGTAAACACGAAGAACAATAGAGATACGAAAATAATTTATACATATATAAGTTGAAGTACGTTCGCCTCAAAACAAAGATTAAAATTTTACGTGTTAGTTTATATTCCTGTTTATAGATTTGTAACCTGTAAACATCTTGTTATTTGAAAATAAATATTTTTCGGTCGGAAAGAACGACACAGTATACAAATAGATTGGCCCGATGAATGCCGTTCGGAGTGACGAATGCCCATCGAATGATCGCGAAAAGACCCGAATTAATATACAAATAACTAATTGCGTTTTTATTAAGATGCAATATAAAGCAAAATAAATTAAGTAGTTGAAACCACTTTTTTGAAAAATATTTCATTTCGATGACTTAAGTATACGATCTTGAATATAGCAAAAAAACAAACTTTTTTTGTTATATCG